AAAACTAATAACTCTTATATATGAAAGAAAGTCGTTGTGGGATATCAGCGAAAAATGATGGAATTCTCCAAATTATTTTCGTTCATAGCAACGTTATCAGCAAGCCAATGGTTTTTTCTTTTTAACTTTAATCGAATTCTGGCGAGATAACTATTTTCCAAAAGAAAATCATCCATTATTATTAACAGTTGTATAGTTACGATGAATAAATTACCGCGATAAATGTGCTTATTTGACACAACATTCACAATTTGTGCGACAAGAAAAGTTTCAGCTGACGATACCCACATATGCAAAATCTTGCGATTTTGCCCGAACTGCGCTCGTCAGAAAACTCATGCAAAGCACGACAGGCTTAACCGGTAATGTAAGACGCCCACGATCCCCCACTATTTACCTCTCCTACGCTGCTTCAACGTAGTCATAGTTCGGGGTGCCCGCCGCAGTGGCGCAATGGTAGATTCCGGTACACTTTTTTAACACGGGATCGGCGATTTCTCAACTAATCTCTGGTTCTACAAGCGGACTTACGCGCTGTGGCGGCGAATAGTCGCGACTCTCTTCAGAAACGTCTTCGCGCGGGTACGGATCTTCGCTGTCCTCCAGCGCATACTCAGTCTGATCCGATGCAATATTAATCGATTAGTAAGGATTACAATGACGGTTTAAATGACACACTGAACCTAAGCTAGTTAGCCAGTCAATACAGTTAGACCGAGACAAAATGGGGCAAGCTCACCTCTTGTCTCGGGGAGCCTCTTTGCACTGGACTGTACTCGGGCTCGGGGTACTCTTGGTAACGTGGGTGCTGCTGAGGGGGCGACTCTGCCACATACTCTTCTTCGGATTCTTCATGCGCGTCCTCAGGGTGACAAAGAGCTCTGTCAAATGATCAGTATGTAAAAGCATCTGGAACCTTTGCCTTGACAACTAGTTTGCTCACTTGCCACGTCGCTGTGAGTCGCGCAACTCCTCCTGAGTGATGGCGACATTGTCGAGCTTCTGCAGCTGTGGCAGCGCCTTGATTACGGCCAGCCGATACCTAAAACCAAGCTTCTGATAGGCAGAACGGGAACGAGCTTTCTCCTTACCCATCGGTGTTGCAGCAAGGATTTTCGCCCAGCCACAGGTTTTTCAGATTCGTCAAGTTTTGCAAGTAGACCACTTCGTGCAGGTTCCGGATGTCGTTCTGTCTGATGTAGAGCTCCTCTAAGCGCTTGCAGAATTGGAAATCGACCAGAGTGTCGATTTTATTTATGCTGGAAGCAATTTATATACTTCAACAATCTCTGCGGACTGACAGATCCTAAGGGAATTATTAGAGGAAACTATGACTTTTGCATAGTGTGCAGTGGATCAAATTACAGGACATGCTGGTAAAAATTAGGCATTTTCCAGAACTGTCTTTTTTGTACTTCAATTTTGCGGGCGTTACGTCGTTATCAGAAAAAATATTTTTGCATTGTTTCGTTGAAATAGTATATTACACACACATAGTTTGTATACCATTTTATTTACAACCATAATAAATAAGACTCAGTTTTGAAAGTTCTGGACATACCTAATTTACATTTAATGACAAATAAATAAGCAGGTGGTTTTCTTGTCAGAATAATAAAATAGGTAAGTGTATTGTTTCTGTTACTTTCGGGTCAACAACTCGCACCAATATAAATAATTGTCAGATTTAATCCGATTTTAAGTTTGCGAAAAAAAATGTCCTCCGATGAGGATTTTTATGTACAAAAGCTGACCCAAATTCCGATCATCCTATTCGAGTACGTCGTTTTACCGCCCAACGAGAACTTTCTCAAATTCGTAGAACGCAGGGCTTGAGCTTATTACAAGCTCCTCCCTACGCGAAGAATATGGGGTAAATTTGACTCAAACTCCACCCAACCTGGGGGTGGGAATCTGTCAATAAATAAGGGTGAAATCACGGGCAGTGCTGTTAGTTCAAATTCGCATTAGAGCAGCAATTATCAGTGTGATTTCGTGTTAGTGTAAAAATCAACATCAGGTGAATTTTCTCACGCCTTTTCAATATTCCTTATTGGTTTAACATTCAAGATAATGTTAAAGAGTGAGTGTTTCTTCATAGAGTAACCTTTTCAACTTCACTTGGACATTCACTTTCTTTAGACTTCACTTCACCTTTCTTCTGTTGAGTCTTTATATTTATTTATCTTCTTTAATATTTAAACTGGTTTTCTTTAAAAGTCTAGTTAAAGTTCAATACTGTTAAAGCTTCATTTAAAAGCATAAAAGTT